TTGCAACGAGGATTGTCCAAAGTATGGGGGATAAGATATAAATCAAATCTTGAAACTCAATACTAAATAAACTCTAATTTGAGCAAGTCCAGTCACTAAACGCATATTATTTCAGATCTAGCAGAATATGAGAACTAGTTTCACTGTGTTTAGCCATGTACTTAAAACTTACAAAACGTAACATAACATATCCACATTTTCAATAGTTGGACTACATCGTAAAATCTATGTGTATAAAACAGTTTGGTTATCACTTGTCAAATCACCTCGCCACTGTGTCGCAGGAACAAGGTATCAGGTAACCAATCTTTTGCATAGTTGGAAGAAAGAGCCTAACCCTGAGCGCTGACTGGCTGAGAGTGGTCCGCTCATCTAAATGTTAAAAATACATGCATGTGGAAACCAGTGACTTATAAAGTACCTTTCATACACAAAACTGCCTCACAAAGTGCTGTATAGTTTGGTTAAAAACTCCACATGCCCAAAGCCCATCAACCACACAACACACCCACCCCAAACCAAATATACAGTATTAGATGAATACTAAGATGAATTCTATAGTTCAATTTTTGGTAGTTTGAAAGTTGAAATACACCAGCTTTAGTAAGTAAGTAATCTTTATTTATATACCGCCTTTTCACTGCAGATCTGAGTCTCGAAGCGGTTTACAATTGTTATTTTTGGGCATTTGTCTCTCACTCCACACAGCGATGGGAGCGATGTCGCCAGTACAGGAGGCACATGCCAGAACTATTGTACATATTTTTAGTGGTAGGGGAAACCGGAGTACCCGGAGGAAACCTACGCAGACACGGGGAGAACATGCAAACTCCACTCAGAAAGGCCCTGGTCCAACCGGGATTTGAACCCAGGACCATCTTGCTGAGAGGTGAGAGTGCTATCCACTCAGCCACTGTGCCGCCATAAAGATTAAAAATACAAAGGTAGAAGGAATTTTAACTCTTTCATGTTCACTCCTTGAAGAAAACAATGCACATTTTTGGGGAGGATTTTCGCTTGTTTTTTAATTATAGGCCTCATTTTTGTTGCAGTCGTTCCATCACAAAAAATAGTATTGTTGTAGAGCAAATAATAAAACTCCAAAAGAACATGACATCTGCTTTTGTTAAATGTTCTGTAAACGAAAACACTCCACACAGCTGCGTTCTTTCATTACATAAATATCTTTAATTGTTTTCAGCGTAAGAATATAAAACCATTTCATTTGGGCATTTTGCATTCTCCATCTTTACAAATAATATACACAAATGTTTCCCCCCGTATCATCTGCAAACACACACACTCAAACAGGCAAGAATCCTCCAGCGGCTTATATTACATAACACAACAAAACAAAGAGGTTGTAACTTAATATTGGGCTGAAAAAGATGAGTGAATATTCCATTTCTGGTCATTTTGTTTCATATTGATAAAAAGCTAGTTAGTAATTCATCCCCATGTTAACCCTTTGTTACATTGAGAAGATTTGTTCTCTTCAAATGTAAGCATCTAGGTCTCTTTGAAATAGACAATTGAACTTTTTTTGCGATACAGATTTTTAATGGAAAAACAAGTGTTGAAACAAAAGATGATTACAGTAAAAGAAAACATTGAGTAAAGTCTTATTTGTATGTTCCTACGTTTTTTTTTATTTCCTGTTACCCCATGCCAGCAGACAAGAAATGGTTCATGTGCTTATTTATGTGCATACTGTCCACTTTTTTGTGCGTCAAAAATCTACATTGCAAGATTTAAATTGCTTAAGAAAAGGTTAGCGCAATTTGTAGGCCACAAAGGGTTAACATGTGAATATGGAGAATACTAAAAGCATAACACAATGGAGGAAACCCTGATCACACTCAGTCATAAAGGGAATGACAACATCGATAAAGATCACTTCAATTTGAAGTAGGACACTCTGTGCACACAACCCCCTAGTCTGAAAAAACAGCTTTACTTCATTCTAATAGTCTGGGTTCAGCAAATGCCATTCAGATGGAACAGGGCTGGAATAAGTACGCTTTTTATCAGAAAATCCAGGCTGGAAAGTAACAAATAACCCAGAAGTAATGTTGAGTAATTGTATTTGATTTGTGAACTTTGAGCCATCAAAACCCAAATACCTCACTGCTCACCTGCTCTGATAAGACAGTTTGAAGTTCTAGTACTGACACCTAATTTGAACAATAATTTCGTCGTACTTTTAATTTTAAAATAAGAAATATTATTGTGAGCCATTAAAAGTATTCATCTTATAGAAAGTGATAATGATCTTAAGTATAAAATATACGGTGGAACAAGAATGAAGGATGAAAAGGCTTTCCGCCTGTATCTCCCAATGCTACCACCTGAGGGAGGAGTGGCAGGAGTGACATGATTAAAAAGAGGAAAGAAAGCAATACGTAGAACAACAGAACGTGCAGCAGTTTTCCCCAAAACAACAATTGTGTTTTTCACTAATATTTTACGTTTCACGACAACGCTCACTGGAGAAAAACATGGTCTGGAAGGTTAAGACCTTCCAGACTGGTCTTTGGACCAATCGTACGTTTTGCATGAAATCGTTAAATAAGGATTTCACGCTTCTTTGTGTTTCAGCCTGTACGCAGATTTCCCCAAAACCCTCGTCTACATTTGTGTTTTAGGTTTGGAGCTTTTCTGTGTAAACCTGGCCTTAGATTGCATAGATGACTAAATTATCCTGAACTTCGGAATTAAATACAGGTATAGCAGTCTGAATACCTGGGAAGTATGGAAAGTAATTATGCCGTTTTATGTTGCAATAAAATCAATAGAAAAAATAGAACTTCATTTTTGAGGTGGACTGGTTTACAAACATGGTTTGGAGATCAAGCCACAAACTTCTCATTAATGTAAATTGTTGAACATTATTTTATGAATTTTTCTCGTATCAATTTAAATGGGTCTTTTCAAAGTACTACAAAGTCATGTTTTAATCTAGTGCATATCAGTGAAACTTTTCCTTTGACTTTAGCAAGTGTTTAAAATGTATACAAATCTAAGTTCCTCATAGATGTCCACTTTTTGCTCTAGTCCATCTAAATGAGGGGTCTTCAACCTTTTTCACTCTGCAAGAGACTTTTTGGACAAAATTGGCAGAAAGCTAGCTTGGCAAACACCAGATTAAATATCAAGTGAATATTTTCGTGTATTATACGCCTATGGACCAATCGTATCAATTAAACCCGATAATGTGAGCAACATACTCACATTATTGGGTTTACTCAAATACAAAGACAACGGAAGACGCAAATAAAGAGAAACTGATGTTTACAGAAGGTGCCTAACGATTACTGCCGTTTGCAAGAGAAAGATGAGAGAAGACAGCTTCTGCTGCCGTCATGTCACACAGCTGCATGGAGATCCCAAGCTTGCAGAAAGCAAAGACAGACTTTGCCCTTAAAAATATTTTTTGATCTTTCCGCTCAATATTCAAGTTTTCAAATTTGTTTCCCCTAATACGTATTATATAAGTCTTGTACAGACTGTGCTGATATTGCAAATATGATTCATGTGCTGCTGGAACTCACAATATCCTTCATTCGATTTCACGATTTTAACATTTTTCACAAATTCAATTTATTCAAAAGCCGATTAATTGCCTAAATTCGATTTATTGCCCAGCCCTAACCCAAACTATTAATCCATTTATAGGAGCACTGAGGTAGCTCCTGAGTCCTTCGACAAGTAAGATATTTTGCCTGAAATGCCCCCTCAGTACAGCATTAAACTAATCCATCAACATGATAACAAATAATATTTGCAGAGAGGAGAGCCTAATGAAAGAATTCAGGGTTTCTAACAGAAAAACCACGTGTAATTGAAAGAAAGCACTGGACTGAGCGATATTCCAATTTAAGTAGTAGTTTTGTTACAATTTGGTTTAGTTGTTATAATATCAAATGTCATATTAAACTTGGAGAATTAATATTTCAGAGGAAAAACATTGCTATATTATTAAATTCATTATAAGTCCCAGTTTATGTGAAAAACGTTTATTAAAACTGCTGATATTATCAGAAACACAATTTTAACTTCCATTTTGCAATACTAATCCAAAATAGTTGAGCAGATCTGGCTGGACGTTGGAAACATGTATTATTATTATTACTAGTATTTTTCATTACTTTAAGTTAGTGAGAAAAGTTGTGTTTTTGGCACTATTGGTGAAAATGGTCCATGCAGTATATCAAAGTCCTTAAATAATAGGGCATGATCATTATTTGTTTCAGAATTTGCATAAGTTCTTTTTAAATAGAAATAGATTTTCAAATGTAGGTGCATTCAATGTATACTACTGACCACTTGTGTCAATCACTTGAACCCAAACTATCAAATGGCAGATTTCTTAAACATGATTAAAGTCAGATTTAATAGATTAAAGACAAAAACAACTAAACGTGCAGTCTTTTTGGAATGAAATCTGCAAAAATCAGCTTTGTAACCAGTCTTCTCGGCTGCTTCCGTGTGAGTTGCACTTGTATGGGGTAAATTAACAAAGGTAGTTAGCTGTCCAGAGGTGGGGGAGGGTCCGACACAGGCCCGTAGGCACATTTCTCCTCTCGTTCACTTTTTTTTTTTTTTACCAGCGCTGTACAAGCTTTCCAAAACACATACGAGGTAGCCACATGTATTAGGCGTGATGGCTGCGGATCACGTCTCATGTCTGGGCACAAGGTTTAGTGTTCTGACCTCACTTGCGTGGGACTATAAAAGGCACAAGGCCTGTTATGTGCCAGTTACAGAAGTTGACTCTGCTCGGTCAGTTAAAACAGTTAGGTTTTGTAGTAAAGGATAAGTAATGCGAGTCATAAGATTGAAATCTGTTAAGAGTGATTATAATGCATTATGGATCTGCTCTAGCACACGTGTTAAAATGCTATGGCCAAATAAAAACAGGTTTGAACAGATACAAACCTTGGACAACTTGTATGTTCCAATGAAAGACTTTGACCCAGTCCAGACACTAACAGTGACTATCACCTGACCTTCTCGCTCTCTGTCATCTGCCATAGTCCCAGGTTGAGCACTTTGAGGCAGGCCAGCTGGGTGATGCGCTCCAGCCCTCTCTTGGTAATCTTGGTGCAGCCGTACAGGTCTATGCCCACAAGCTGGGTCAGGTGGTCCGCAATCAGCTCTAGTCCTTTGTCAGTGATGCGAACACACTGGCCGATGTTGAGCGTGCGCAGCTCATGCATCTGGCGCACCATGCGGTTAATGCCGTCGTCTGAGATGTGGCAGGAGCAGAGGGACAGGGACTTGAGCTGGTACAGCCCCTGGGCGATGTAAGCGAGTGTCTGGTCTCCAATCTTATCACAGAAGGACACGTCCAGGCCAGAGAGACGCAGCGTGCCCATGGCCAGGTGCATAGTGCCCGTGTCACTGATGTTGTCGCAGGAGCGCAGGTTGAGGCTCCACAGGGAGGTCATGTGGGACAGGTGGATCATGCCCGCATCAGAGATTCCCCCACAGAAACTCAGGTTGAGCACACGCAGCTTGGCTAGTCCTTTGGAGATGTGTTTGAGGGAAAGGTCCGTGAGCTTCTGACAGTCCTGCAGAGTGAGGTGCTCCAGGCTCAGACAGCCCTCCGCTGCACTGCGGGTCATGCCCGCCAGGTGCCCGATGCCCACATCAGACACATGTCTGCAGGAGCGTAAGTTCAGGCTCTGAAGGCGCTGCAATCCCCAGGCCACCAGTAGCAGCCCGGTGTTGGTGATGTTGCTGCAGCCGCCCAGCTCCAGCACCTCCAGGTTCTTGAGGTACTGAGCGATGCGACCGAGGCTGGAGTCTGTGATCTGCTTACACAGGCTGAGGTTAAGCACCCGCAGAGACGGGATCTCCTGCACAAACGCGTGGCCCAGCCCGTTGTCCGTCAGGTTGTAGCAGCCTGACAGGTTGAGGGACTGGATGTTTGGCATGCCCTGGATCACATAACTCAGGCTCCGGCGTAGGGACAGGATTTGCACCCGGCGGATGCCCCTGGCCTGGAGGCTGGGGAACAGGGATGGATTGGCCCTGCGAAGGTGCAGCTTAGCCTCCACCCCTCTCCACACAGACTTGTGGTAGGATGCGTCCCTCCAGGCGATGCACACTTGTGCTACCCTGCCTTTGTCCCTCACGTCCAGATAGCTGAAAATCATGGCCAAAATTTCCGGGAAGAGGCACGAAATGTGCGTCTCCATTGTCTTTTAAACCCCAGGCATATAAGAAGTTAATACTCCACTCACCAGGGCAGAAAAAGTCTAAATTAGTTCCACATGCAGTAATATAAAAAGTCGCACCAGTCCCACGTCTCCAAGTGAACCGCAGGAGTTTTGCTCCTCACTGTGAACTGTGCACAATCCAACTCTGCTCCGGGATGGCTCTGCTGCGCGGCTCCAGTGCATGAGAAACAGTTGAAATCCGACACACGGCAGTGTTCGTGTCTGCGACCTCCAGCCCGTGTCCGCGGAGCAGAGAGGGGCTGGTCGCGGGAGGAGGAGAGGCGGAGAACAGCCCGGCCCCTCGCTCTCCGCTCACACGACGCTTCCACGGATTGAGCCCAGGGAAGGCGCTCCTCCAGCGGCCCCGCGGGGGTCCAGGCGCGGGTGCATGTGTGGGCAGGAGCGGGGGTCTCAGCCTCTCAGCGCGCCCTGCAGACACACGGGTCCATGGCGGAGCAGCGCGGGGGGGGGGAGCCGCTGTGAGAGCCGCTGTGCGCACGGAGCTTTGTGACTGGAGACGCTCCGGACTGTGCCTCTGCCTTTGTCTGCGCTTTCAAACCCTGTCAGCTGGGGCGCCAGGTTTAGGAGATAAACACGCGACCAAGCCTTTATCAAACACAAATAATGGCAATTTAAAACATGACAAACAACTGAGCGTCAAAATAAATGCACAAAAGGCAATCACTGAAGGCTTATGTCACAGTTGCATAGAATTAAAAATAATAGCAGACACAGTTGGTATTTCACTAAATACTTCAATACTATTACTACTTGCTAATTAAGTATAGTTCTTCAAATCATTGTGGTCTAATGCAAAATGATTCAAGAGGTACAAAAAATGAAACCCAATTAATTTCACGTATCTCACTATTTTCAATTTATCATTATATAAATCAATAAGCAAATGCATAAACTGAGTGCATCATTAAGGCTTACTAAATGGAGTTGTGGATAATGACGAAATTGTAAGAAAGTTGCACGTGATTGTAAACAAAGCAATAAATAAAAGCCCGAAGCCGCTATAAAGATTCAGATTTGGCAACAAAGACCGCGTCACTTGGGACTGGCTCCTCGCCCGCAATGAAATCATTTTGTTTGCTCGTGCGTTCGTTACCTCACACACGCACGGACCTCAGCTGTCACTCAGGTCTGGTTCTGGTTCTGGCCTGAGCTGGGAACAGGCGCGTGTGTCTGTGTAGGTGTAGTACACCCCCCTGTACTCCCTTTTGTGGTGCGCTCCGTCTCAGTTTCCCCTGGAGACCAACTTCTGTGATGCAGTCCACTTTAACCCTTTGAGCGGAGCGCACAGCTCAGCAGCGTTGTGTGCAAGTGTTTAGAGTTTCATTCCAAGACTCTGATTTCAGTAACAACCACACAATAGTGGTTGGGTCATATTGACTTTATTATCTATTTTCAAATAATGATATAATTTAGCCACTCTGGAGAAATCTCAAACGTGCTGTTCATGCAAGGCCACCAAGTAATGTATGTGAACTGGAGGCTTTTCGGAACTGGAGGATGACAGCTTTATCATCAGAGAGGATAGAGAACCTCATCCACAACTACCACAAAAGACTCCTATAGCTGTCAAAGATGTTAAAGGCACACCGTGTAACTCTTGGCCACTAGGGGCGCTAGACCTGCAACTTTCACGTTTAGCGCCCCTAGTGGCCACAAGCAACTCAGCACTGTCGCAAAAGTCAACAAACAGTCAGCCGGTGTCTTTTGAGTGTGTATTCAGACAGCATGCACTGGTGTGTGTGTTCAAACTGTAGAGACATGCCTACAGATATTGAGAGACTCTGCTGTGGTCGCGTTTCCTCTTTTTAGCCTCCTCCGAAGGTTTAAAATTTTTCCTTGCCTCAGCCATGACCAGGAGTCGAGCAGGTGAAAAATGAGTAGCAAAAGCCTTAGCTCCATGAGTATATCAGCGCCTGTAGCCGTAAAGCAAGTCTTTCTTCCAAGTCACGTGACCTGGTGGCAGACGGTCCGTCTGCTCGAAAGTTACATGGGCGGTATTTCAAGAGGGCAGCCCCGCTCGGAGCATTGCAAGTGTCAAGCGCTGTATATTGGCCCAAGTATTCATATAAAATAACTCATATGTGTCAACTCTTTAGGTCACAAAGTCCGCGGTGTGCCTTTAAAGGAGAAATGCACATAACCGAGAACTCCGGAAGGGAGACTTCTGATCAGGGTCTGAAGAGGAGTTTCTCTTGTCAACATAATTGAAAAAAGAAAAGATGTTTATTTACTAATAAAGGGCTTCACAAAACCACTTACAATGCGTGGGAAGAAGTGTTGTGTTATCATTCATCATCTCAACATTTCTGTCAGGGGGTCACTAAAAATATAAGTTATACTAACCTTGGCCCAAGCCCCGGTGATCCAAGATCGCACCCTATTCAAATCAATGGCTTGTGCTCAGTAGTGCATGGGACTGCCATGGGGACCGAAAGATTAGCGGAACTTGCCCATATTTGGGTCTGCGCAGTGGATGACTTCCCATGATGCTTTTCGCCAAATACGCGTGTGTGGCCCATGGATCTAATATCTGGATAGGGTATTACTAGCTTATAGCTGTTACACCTTTGGGCACAGGGTGTAACACTGGGCACAGTGGTACTGCAGACTAAGTTCACGTGGGCTACCCAAAAAAAGTCCCATAGAACTCAATGTACACTAAAACAGCTCGACCTCAGCTGACAGAGAACCTATAGCTTTCATACAGGAGGATTTTGTGGGGATTTTAGTGTCCCTTGTTTGAACTATTTTTCTTCTTAAATGTTTTTTTTTTCCACAATCCCACACTTTGGAGCAACAAACTATGCTTGTTTGGCTCCCGCTCTTGCTCCGCTCTGATCACCAGCCACTGATTGGTCAGAGCGCAGCTGAGCCCCTCTGTGCACGTGCAGCAGAAAAAGTGGACAACATTTGATGGATTACGGTCTAATTTGTGATGTGAGTGAAGTAAAAGGATTCTAAAGAGACAATAAACTTTTCTTCTTAAAGGTTTGTTCCAAAGAAGCCTTGCCTTAGCCATCCGTTCACTCCGCTCAATTACATCAGTAGAATTCCATCCGACCAATCAGCAAGCGCGGAAGGCGGGTGTTTTAGTTAGATGTGGGTGACGATGTGGGAAGGGTTTGCGTAGAACGGGAAGGTTGTAGTTTAGCAATGGCAAAGAATGTGATAGTAAAGTATTCCGGTCTGGTTCTATCAAGAAATTGAAGCCAGAGCAAGAGGAATGTATAGTAAAAGTCATGGCTGGCAAAGTTTGTGGCGCTACTCCCCACGGGCTAACGACTCACTCGGGCTCATTACATACGTCAAGGTAAACTCCTCCCACCGGTTAACGAAGCTCAATGGAGCACCTCCAGACCATAGTACAAAATGTAATTTGTACTATGGTGTGGTACGACCAGGCTAGTTCCAAAGGCAAAGAAGACAGACCTGGTTTATGCAGCATTCAGTTACACATAAACACAATATTAAACTTGAATCATAATGCAACAAATAAATGACAAATTATTTATCTGCATATATTCTATTTAGTATAGTTCACATCAAACTAGAATTTAGGAGCATGAAGACTAGTTTATATACAGCAGAGGATCTTAAAATACTTCAAGTGCTGGTCCTGCTGGTTTGGGGCCTATTGAGGCCCTCCTCAGTCCAGAGAGTAGTCGTGACAGCGCACACTTGGGGCACTTTTGGAAGGCACTCAGCTCAGCGTGTATATGTTTCACTGCAGCAGTTTCGAATGCAGCTGTGTCCTCCTCACGAGCTGCCCTTTGGAGTGCGTCTGCCGAGCCAAACTCCCCAAGATCGACTACTTTCCCTACTTTAAGTGATGCCGCTTTATATGGCTGCTTTCATCTAACTCCAGCTGCTCCTCGACGTTGTTATCCAAGTCGTAATTAGACTTCCCTGATGGTTGTCAATAGATCCAGCCAGTTTGAGCAGTTTTTGGGTGATTTGGTGATAAAGTAAGTACAGTTAGAGAAATCCTACATGGTTCAGCAGACGTGTCCAGTGGTCAACTATTTTTTTCAAGCTCAGCGATACATTCATTTATTTTCATCCCTTTACTATCCGTTTCTGGGTCAGGGGGGTGGCAATCAGAGCTGCCACCCAATTCACAAAACACCAGTCGCTTGCTGATCCTCCACAGGAAGTTGGCTGCTCCTTCAACACAGATAAGGCCAAATCTTTCAGCTTGGACTTCAGGCAAAGTGGGGTTAAGTGTATTGCCCAGGGACACAACATCTTCAGACATCAGTGGGAGCAGGTGACATGGGTCATGGTGGGATCGAACCCATGACCATTAGGTCCAAAGACCAATGCTCTACCAACTGAGTTACTGTCGCCCCGAATTCCGAGATATTCTCAGTAATTATGTCAGGTTGTTGTGACTTAGTGCTTGTGTTGTGAAATACAACATTCCAGTTCTTGTGCACCTGAACAAAACTATTATATTCTGGACTTGAACAGAAAAGAAACTTGTCTCACATTTTCAGGAAGATTGCATAAATCTGAAATTCTGATTCCCATGGTCAGTCCCAACTTTGGTACCAAAAGGAGGTCAGTCCCTGTGCTCCTGAGAGTCCCAGCAGGAGGTCAGTCCCTGTGCTCCTGAGAGCCCCAGCAGGAGGTCAGTCCCTGTGCTCCTGAGAGCCCCAGCAGGAGGTCAGTCCCTGTGCTCCTGAGAGTCCCAGCAGGAGGTCAGTCCCTGTGCTCCTGAGAGCCCCAGCAGGAGGTCAGTCCCTGTGCTCCTGAGAGCCCCAGCAGGAGGTCAGTCCCTGTGCTCCTGAGAGTCCCAGCAGGAGGTCAGTCCCTGTGCTCCTGAGAGCCCCAGCAGGAGGTCAGTCCCTGTGCTCCTGAGAGCCCCAGCAGGAGGCCAGTCCCTGTGCTCCTGAGAGTCCCAGCAGGAGGCCAGTCCCTGTGCTCCTGAGAGTCCCAGCTGGAGGCCAGTCCCTGTGCTCCTGAGAGTCCCAGCAGGAGGCCAGTCCCTGGGAGCGCGCACCATTAGAAATTTTATCAAATTCCACAATACACTCTATTGTTTTTCTACTCACTAATTACTTTTACAAACATCATGAAAAAGAGGAGCATTTCAAATGCTACTATGAGTCAAAAATCGTCTTGAACTATTATAATTAGTCGTTGTGCTGTTTGTAGCCTGCAGACTGGCATGACAAAAAATAGGGCCAGTTGTCCTTAAATGGCTTCATGGATCAAAAACAAGCACATCTCTAATCCAGCCTTTCATTTAGAGCCAAAATAATCACTTTGAAACCACTCCAATTTAGTCTTTTTATTTTTGTTGCTGATGACAGAATATCTTAGCCAATTTGATCGGGAATGTGCAGTTCAGGTAGCAGTGTATTTTGTTCATCAATAAAGTATCTTAATAATGTGGTTTGTGTTTGAGGGTTATTCCATGTTGTGATTTATGGGGGATTACATGCAATATTTAGTTTACATCAGTGAAACATACAAAACAAAAGATTCCTCTATGCCTGAATAATTAACACAATTGTATTAAATAAATAGAAGTAAAAGAGCGAGATAGACATTGTTAATGTGGAATTTTTGATGTTTTTGATTTAATTGCACTTAGATGAACTGGTACAAAGAGTTCATGTAATTGTCTTGGAGAAATCCTTTTTTCTGTGTGAGAGTGACGGGCCGAATCGGACTATTGTTGTACAGAGGGAGCAACGTCTGCAGTCAAAGCCATCAGTCCCCGTCATGTTTGTATCATGAGACACACAAAACACGATGCAGTTTCTGCCACTGCTGTAGCAAGTGAGTTTCTGTCTGTAAAACAAAGAACCACAGCTGTACATTTAACTATCGGATGAGAACATCTTTGCCTTCACCAATAGGACACATGGGTGCTTGAGCAGTATTGAGGTACCCAAAGATGCCATTTTGTGCCGTGACATTAATTGCAGAAGTCAGGAGCACTGCTCTCAAATATGTTCACTATACAATGGTGTCATTGAGGCCCTCATTGCAGCTGGTAAACCTCTCAGTAAACATAAAAAGCACACCCACAGTGGTAAATCTGGATGGAATATGTACGTGGAAGGAGCTCATGCGGACGCTCGGTGTGCATTTAAAGCTTGGACAGAAGCTGGGAAGCACAGGAGTGGGTCACTGTTTGAACAAAAGAAACGTGCAAATGCCAAATTCAAATGTGCCTTGCGCTATATAAAGCGGAATGAGAATCGCCTAAGGGCAGAATCTCTTGCTTCCAAACTGAAAAACAACAACTTCTTTGACTTTTGGAAAGAAGTTAGAATGATGAACAGTTGCAAGACTTCTCTTCCCTGTGATATTGACGGAGTAACTGGTTCGGACAATATATGTAAATCGTGGATGAAATATTATTATGAATTGTATAATTGTGGTAAAGACAATAATGCTATTATAGGGGCTGTTGATAATAATGATGGTGTGATCGTAACTCCACTTGAGGTTTTTAATGCTGTTTTAACATTGAAGAGTAACAAGTCATGTGGACCAGATGCAGTTTCATCTGAGCACCTAAAATATGCAAGCAAAAAGTTATACCCACTTCTTGCTCTATGTTTTACTAGTTTTTTTGTTCATGGGGTTTTGCCTGTGTCACTTAAGTCAGTCTTACTTGTCCCAGTAATCAAAGACAAGGCTGGGAAACTCAACAGTAAGGACAACTATCGGCCTATTGCCTTGGCCAGTTCTGTGGCCAAGGTTTTTGAGAGGATCATTCTGTACAGACTTGAACCATACCTTTATACAGCTGCAAACCAATTTGGATTCAAACAAGAGCATGGTACTGACCTGTGTATTTTTGCCCTTAAGGAAATCCTGGACAAGTACCACAGTCAAGGTTCCACAATTTTCACCTGTTTCTTAGATGCATCCAAAGCATTCGATAGGATTAATCATGAGAAGCTTTTCAGGAAGTTATCTAATAGAGGTGTTCCTGGCTACCTTATTAGGGTCCTCATATTTTGGTACTCACAGCAGAGTATGCGGGTGAAGTGGGGTGGGTCAGTGTCAGACTCATTCAAGGTCAGCAATGGAGTCCGGCAGGGTAGTGTGATGTCCCCCCTGTTGTTTACATCTATATGGACGATTTATCTGTACAGCTCAATCACTGTAATACTGAGTGTGTTGTCTGAGGCAGAGTGATTAACCTCCTCATGTATGCCGATGACCTGGTTGTGCTCAGTCCGTACAGTGCAGGACTTCAGCAGCTCCTCAAGATATGCTCTAAGTACGGTCTTCAAAATGATATAAAATATAACTCTAGTAAAAGCTTCATCATGATTGTGAGGACAAAAAATGACACAAAATCTGTATTTCCTGCATTCTCCCTATGTGGTAATGCTCTAAATGTCAGTGAGGAGGTAAAGTACCTTGGCCATTACATATGCAGTGACCTCACAGACGACCGGGATATACACAGACAGAGATGTAAACTGTATGGCCAATCCAACATGCTGGTCAGAAAGTTTAACATATGCTCTGTGAATGTTAAAACCTCCCTGTTCCAATCTTTTTGTGCTCCCTTATACACAGCCCAACTATGGCGGAGCTATAAGCAGGCCAGTTTGCAGAAGTTAACTGTTGCCTATAATGACTCGATGAGGATACTGTTGAAGATCCCCAGACACAGTAGTACGAGTCAGATGTTTGCTGAGTGCAGGGTGCGCTCCTTTCCTGCTGCCCTACGTCACTGCTACTATCGGTTCATGTGTAGAGTGGTGAGGGTTTGTCCTTACATTAGCTCAGTCAGGTTCACTTCTTTGCTCTGGAGTCACTGGCGTGCTTCTCTGTATGTGTGACTTGGTCTAAATATGTGAATATGTGATTACTATGTGTGTTTTAACTCTGTTCTGTTTTTTTTTTTTTTTTTACTTTTCTTTCATTATTCTTAGCTATGGATCCTGTGCTTGCATGTGAGTCCTTAATAAAGTATAAATAAAAATAAATGTACCATGTGCACTTGGTTTCATTACGTGAGGTTTTCAGGAATCAGGGTTTCCTGCAAATTGCGTTTGTTTATTCATATATTTTCAACTTAACATGAATGCCAAATTAATTAAACTGAATTTATTGTTTAAAGGCCAAAGTAAATAGTGACTACATTCGTATGTGTGTTGATTGTTCCAGGAATCAGACCAGAGCAGCGGTACACCTCCGGGACCAGGGGGCGTGTGGTGGGTTGCTGCCTTGCCTTGGGGCCTCCTCTCTGGGCTTGGTGATCGACGTCTGTCCCCTCCCTCCAACAGTTCCAGCCCAGTGCTGAACCAGGTCAGCTCCTCTTTTCTATTCACCATCAAATGAAATGTTTGTCAGCATCTTTGCATCTTTAAAAGGCAACAATACCTTTTAAAAATTCAGATTCATTTTATTTGCCATTTGCAATAAAACCACATTGGAATACCAAAAAGTACCCCAGTGTACACCAGACAAGGACATAGATAAAACAAGCTAAAATGTACAAACATGGAACAAGGTAAAAACGGTACCATTAACTCCATGTTTAAAGTCTTATTATCAAAATGTAATATTATTTTTTATAACATAAAATGAGCGGTGAATTACACTGTAGGATCAATGGTACCGTCCTTTGCACTGTGGACACGTGCTGTGGACGACTTCAACAGTAATGAGACAGGTTAGTTTCACCCTATACTGATGATGTGTTGTTGCAATAGTAATCCTGCTCATGTCCCACAGTAGATTCCTCCTACTGTGGGACATGTCCACACTCTATCCCTTCTCCATCTACATTTGCAGACTAAAAAGTGACATCTGGCCACTCAGTTCATACATTAATAAATTCAGATTTTAGATTTTTTTTCAAGTGAAAAAAAAGTTTTACAAGACATTTTCTATTGGGACAAACTCAACGTAACTATACAATAAAATAGGGTTAGGTACATAATTTTTCCCTCCATATTTTTTACTTATAAATAAATTATGATGAGCAAGAGGCAAGGATGCAATGGGTTAATGGTGAAGATATAGTACAAAACAAACAGATGGTTAGATGTGGAGATACGGACAAAGAGGAGGGGGGGTCCTCAGCCTGCAGGCAGAGCCATGACTCATCCTGTGCCAGCCAACAGAAGGACCAGGACCATGCAAACTCCCCTCTCCGCCCCGTCATGTCAGCAGGGGTCGCTCTGCCCTCCTAGAACCTAGAACTGTGATAAGCACAAAAGGAAAGTGTATCGTAAGAGCGTGGAACAGTGCTGGAACTCTGGCCCATTCCTCCAGGCAGAACTGGTGTGACTGAGCTGTGACTGTTGGCGGCCGTGCTCTCACACACATTTTAAGACCTGCCCCCACACATTTTCAGTGGGATTGAGATCAGGACTTTGTGATGGTCATTCCACAGTATTACTTTAAGATACTTCAAGACTAATACAGCTGAAAAATGAATTATTTTTACTTCCTACCGCTACTGTGTGTATGTAAACGAACATGTATCCTGTCCAGTCAATGGAGGCAAAATGTTGAGGCAAATCTCTGACCAAACCTTTGGGTATAAATTGAGGTCTTTACAACAGTAATGACAGAAAGATGAAAAATAGTGGGATCGCAAAGCAGGGTAGAGCTGGGTAATGGGAGCATGTTTTCTTATTCCACATAAAATCACATATTTATTTAGTTATTTGAGCAGGGAACAATGCACATTGGAGAACATTTCTAAAGCGCCTGGTTTAGCTTCAGTAACACTTTAGACATAAAGTTTATCCAAATCTGGCCATTGTCTACATTTTAAAACAAAAGTATTTCCTCAATAACTAACTCCAGTCAAATGACCTGCTAAACCATATTAAATCAAACAAAAGGAGGATGTAATTTCCCACTTACTGCTCATTCTTGTCATGGACATATTTGTCCACAAAATATACTGTCTTCATCTTTGGGCTAAAAGCTGATTGGCTGAGTGAGGTTGGTCCTCTCTTCTACACTTTTGTCTGAACAAGACAGAGGGCAAAAGAAATGCATGTGAAAACCAGTCATAGAGCCAAATTGTTTTAGGATTGAGTTGACACAGATACATTTTTGGTGGTTTAAAACTCATGTACCCCAGCTTTAAGTAGCCCTTATTTGGCAGGGTTTCCTCCAGACAGATTCAACTGGACTTCTCTCAATCTCTGGCAGCCTCCTCCGCAGGACCTTCACCACAGGAGAGGAGGAGGGAGGAGGGAGGAGAGAAGCGAAGGGGGACAGGGGGGTTGTAGCCCGTCCTGCACTGATGCACAGCCCTACAGCTTCATCAGCCGTTGCCTCCGGTTGCGCTGCTATTGCGCTCCTCCCCAGGGACACAACGCTCTCTCCAGCTTCCAAAGCCATTCTCCTTCCCCTCCCACCTCCTTTCACTCATCTACAATCAGATCTCAGAAGCTAAGCAATGCAAGTCCTGGTCAGTACTGTGATGGAGACCACTGTGATAGCAGGCTTGAGTCTTCTGTGGCATGGAAGATAAAAGTATTTGAAATCAATAAGTCAAAGAATACACTTTTATAATACTTGTTTCAGATCACTGTGTTTGAAACAACAAGATAATGTAAAAATGTTTGACACTGGCACATGATAAAAAGCAACATGCACAACTTAAAGAAGCTACAGTATACACAATAAAAAAAATAAAAAATGCTTATTACTACATACAAGTTGTATTATAATCCGTAATTTAATTGAAAACTTGAGCTCATTGATTCAGCTGTGTAAGAATTCAGGCCGTAAAAAGTGCTGAGTAGAGACTTAGCGTGACGATTGATCTCCTCCACTCACAGAACGATGCTGCGTCCTCTAGCTTCTACAGCGCTGCTAAACACAGGAGCATGTTAGCAGAATTGGCTATAACTCTTGTTGCTGAAACTGCAGACACAGCAAAACAGCCCAAACAACACAACAGTGAGGAAGAGAAGAGGGAACTAAAGAAAAAAAATGATCAGAGAAGAAATCAAGCCCTGGTGAACATAGCTAGCTTACATCGTATCCCCTGGAGAGACCTGCGGGACCGCCTCGGACTATCTATGCTCGGACTACATTCGGACGTGAAACTAGCGGTAATCTTTTAGTTATATATTTTGTTAGCAGTGCATTGCTTTTGTACCATTTCATCAGTGATTGTTGTACAGCTTACAAGAAGTTGCGCTCATGCTAATTTTAGCATATGTGTCAGATTGCAAATAAAACTAGATGGCTCCGTGGAAAGAGAGCGTAGGGGAAATGAGAAGCCTGTGAGCGAGTTGAGGGGCGGTGCTAAACATTCAAACCTTGCAGAAACGGGTGTAGCTCCTTTAAAGTAGTACTAGAATTTTATTTTACCAATCGCAGTTTTTGTAAGGTTAGAGCCATAGAAAAAAATAGAAAAAAAAGGAAAAAAAAATAACGTAAATGTAAATTATTAGGGGAATGTCGTAGGTGAATGACATTCCAAATTCGAACACGAGCTTACTCTGTACTATACTGTACACTTACTCAACCGCTTGTTTTACTTTTCTTTGCCTTATTGCCAATAACGATGGGGAAAAAGTGCGTCGCTTACGGCTGTACTAATGTAAATAAGGGTGGCGTGTCTTTACCATAGACTGTAAATATTAACGGACAGAGTCACGCCTATCTCCGCCGTTCTAACTAATGGGCCAAAAATAGCGCTGTACTGGAGATATCCAAAATGGCCGCGAGTGGTCCCGCCCACAAGAAAAAAGTGAAAAAACGCATCTGCGCATGCGTCAGCCGGCAAGAGCTCCATTCATTTGAACGAGAGACTTCAAAAATTCACAGCAAGTAAACTAGAGTGGTCCAAAAAAATTCACTCCCCTCAGCACTGACACACATGTGGAACGGAGCTTTGGGCCAAGAGCCAACTTTTGGACCATCCTGTAAAGACGTTGACGAGAGGTCTGCAGCATTGGCTAATTCTACTTCTGGGTTCACCCCCATCGGCCCGGGGTGGTATTGCAAGCATGTCAGCGCACGTCATTTTGGCCACTGGTCTTTACTCAACTTCCCAAACCCTACAACCGAGAAGGAGCGATTTGACGGAACAGACCAGTCAAACGGACGCGTCTTGATTGGACCTGTCCTCCGCTTCCCTATCTGTTTGCTGCGTTTCTGTTCTGAGCGCTTCACCCAGGACTCGTTTGTACACATTAATTCGGTGGCTGAGGACGTGACGTGCCGTGAGGTTTGGGATTGGGGAGGCACTGACTGAACCGCATCAAACCAAGTCTTTGCGAAGCACAGGTGCGAGAGACGGGAGGAGGGAAAAAGAGAGTTAGAGAGAGAGAGAGATGCAAGGAGCAAGAGAGAGACGCAAAGAGCGAGAGAGAGAGAGACGCAAAGAGCGAGAGAGCGACGCAAAGAGCGAGAGAGCGACGCAAAGAGCGAGAGAGAGACACAAAGAGCGAGAGAGAGACGCAAAGAGCAAGAGAGAGACGCAAGGAGCGAGAGAGATACGGAGAGAGAGAAAGGGAGAGACTCTAGGAGAGAGAGAGAAAAACGTGCGTAACACAAACAAGAATTAAACAAGTCGCAAAACTCTTGAGCAGTGTTTAAATCAGTGTTTTTCTGGGAAGCACTTTTATGCAGCTATCTAGTACATTTTAAATATAAAACACAGACACTGACATTTCCTCCCCCGTGGCCGGACAAACCTCGTAAGTTCACTGGTAGCCGTCCCACTGTGGCATCAGGTGTTAGCATTTTTGGATATTCCAATGTACATTGTGGTAAATAAATCAAAGGCAACTCAGAGTGAGACTGGCATAATGTAAAAAAGAATATTAGCCTCGTAAGCATGTTTTAGGATATCTTGATTTCAAGTAGCTAACTTGCCCAACACTGGGGACCGTTAGGCCAAGTAATTAGCTTGAATCTCACATATATGACTTAAAGGTTAAAAAAGTTGCACACTATTATGTACAAAACTGATGAAAATATGTTTATACCTTGTTCAGATGACAGTGAAACCCCCGATTCTTCCCCAGATTCAACATCAATTAACTCCCTGCTCCTACAGATTCCAGCCACGACTGCTGTCAAGGGTCATTCACCTACGTCATCGCTGCATTCGGGCGCACCTATATTGTTTATATGCGGGAGTGGAAAAAGTGCAACTTCAAAGCTGTTTTTTAAACATAATTCATCTTAACATATCAAAATGAACGCCCAAAATATTATAAACACATATTGTAGTTATATAATGTGGATAGCAGCATGGTAAATTCTAGTACTACTTTAATCTGAACTTTCCTGAACCACAGCTGACCACAGTCAGTCATTTTACTTTAGAACAGTGGTTATCAAACTTTTTACACAAAGTACCACCTCAGAAAATACTTGCCTCTCCAAGTACCACCACAAATGACCAACACTACACAGTAGCGTAGTAAGCCTAAGTATTCATCAAAACAAGGTAGAGGTTTCATTCCTAAAGAAGTATTGTCAGCCATTGTAACATTTTACATAGTTTCAACAGTAAGACTGCGCTTAAGAAAAAAAAACTGTACTTAAATAATGATTCAACTAAAATGTTCAATTCATTACAAACTGCAAAGCCTTGACTCACCACTGTGAATGATATTCTGGAGTGGGATGGCCTTCTTTGTCCAGCAGAAGGTTTGGACCATAGACTGTATACATCTCCGCCGTTCTAACTAATGGGCCAAACATTGGGCTTTCATTGAGTGAGTCAAAATGACCACGAGGGCTGGAAAATGTGAAAAAACGCATCTGCGCGTGCGTCAACTTTTGGACCATCCTGTAAAGGTGTTTTCGAGAGGTAAGAAGATGCTATATGTTAGCATTGGCTAATTCTTCTTCCGGGTCCACGCCCATCTGCCCGGGGTGGTATTGCAAGCATGTCAGCGCACGTCATTTTGGCCACTTTTGAGCTGGGACCCGCCCCCACTGGTCTGGACACTGGTTCACTTTTGTTTATAAGGCTTGGTCTGCTGCCCTCTTATGCCGCTTTCACACCGGATCATGCGCTGCGTCAACTTTCAATGCAAAGTCAATGGTGACGTACGTTTGAGCGTTGAACTGCATGTGCGTCTCGGGATGCACGCACGGAATGTGCGGTAGAGACGCACGGACTGCGCGGCAGAGGCGCAGGAGTGTGGGTTTGAGTCCACCATAAGACCTATTCACGACTCCCACTGATGACTGCTGTCAT